CTGTCAACTACACCGACGCAATAATGCAGGATGTGCTTACCGCAGGAATTGCTGACTCTGAAATCCAGCTTGATCTTTTAGGAGACAAGAACCAGGACATGGGCTTGGAAGATGTCTTCCAGTTCATTGAGGCAAAAGAGGCCGGGAAACGCTCTGCCTCCTCCCTTCTGGACTCACACGCGGTGGAAGCAGCCAGCAGCTCCTATCGGAAAACCAGACAGACACATCTCAAGGAGAAGCAGGAAGTGTGCGCCTACTGCGGTAAGAAGGGGCACTGACGAAGCGCCCCAGCTCATGTCCGCAAGACGCAGTGTACAGCCTATGGACAGATATGTGGACACTGTGACAAGCTCCATCATATGGAGAATGTCTGCCGCAGCAAGGGCAGGCCACGACACCAACAGTCAGCCATCCCTGGCGAACACGAGGGTGCTATCTTCGACACCCTCTGTACCATCCGTGACTTAGGGCAACCACGTGGCCTCCCCATCGTCCACCACGTGTGTGATAATCTTTCCAAAGCATGGCACAGGAAAAGATCGACACCTCAGCCATTCCTTGATGTGACCGTGAAAGCTGTTCCTGATTACTATGAACCCCTTGGTTTCGGCCTGTCATCCCCTTCAAAGACCTGCTCCATACCAGCCATGGCAGACACTGGATGCCAAAGCTGCCTTGCTGGTTTGAAGGTCGTCCATCACCTTGGATTATGCCTTCAAGACCTCATCCCAGTCACCGTGGAGATGCACACTGCGACTGATGGGGGCATCACGATCCTTAGAGCTGCCCCTCTCCGCTTATCCGGCAAAGATCGCCTCGGTCATGTTGTCGAGTCACGGCAACTGACCTACATCACAGACATCTCCGATAAGCTCTTCCTCAGCAAAGAGGCCTGCATCGATTTGGGGATCATCTCGGAAGGCTTCCCCACGCTCGGCATGACACAAGGGGCACACCAACCGGACACGGCAGCCACCCTCAAGAAGGCCTCTGATGGAACAGCCTGTACCTGCCCTCGGCATCAACAGCCCCCACCACCCCCTACTAAACTGCCATTCCCTGCGACTGAGGCGAACCGTGTGAAGCTGCAAAAGTATCTACTTGACTACTTCAAATCAAGCACATTTAATACGTGTGAGCATCAGCCCTTGCCACTAATGGACAGCCCACCTATGAAATTGATGGTGGACCCTGAAGCAGAGCCAGTCGCACATCACACAACAGTGCCTGTCCCACTCCACTGGCGAGATGCCTTCAAGGCTGGTTTAGATAGTGATGTTCAGTTGGGTGTGCTCGAACCAGTACCCATCGGGGAGCCTGTTACCTGGTGCCACAGGATGGTGGTGTGTGCAAAGAAAGATGGTAAACCACGTCGGACGGTTGATTTCCAGGCCCTCAATGTGCACGCTACCCGCGAGACACACCACACGCCATCACCCTTCATTCAGGCCTGTTCCGTTCCTCACGGGAAGAAAAAGACAGGACTCGACGCATGGAACGGATACCATAGCGTACCCATATGCCCAGAGGACAGACACCTCACCAGCTTCATCACTCCATGGCGCAGGTACCGATACAAGACAGCCCCTCAGGGGTACATTGCCTCTGGTGATGGATACACCAGGCGATATGACGAGATTGTCTCGGGTGTCCAGAAAAAGTCAAAATGTGTTGACGACGTCCTTCTGTGGGCTGACACGTTAGAAGACTTCCATGCTGTCGAATGGCTAGATATCTGCGGCCGCAACGGGATCACCCTCAACCCCAGGAAGTTAATGTTTGGTGCAGATGTTGTGGAATTTACTGGTTTTGAGATTACCCCAGACAGCGTCCGCCTATGCGAGAAGTACTTAAAGGCGATCCTTGACTTCCCAATGCCCACCAACGTCACAGATGTCCGCTCATGGTTCAGACTGGTCAATCAAGTCTCCTACGCCTTCAGCTTGACTGAAAAGATGCTACCATTCCGCGAGCTCCTGAAGCCCAGCATACCGTTTCTATGGACCGATGCCCTCCAGCGCGCTTTCGACGAGTCCAACGCTGTTATTGCTAGTGAGATAGAAGAAGGCGTACAAATCTTTGATCCCACTTGCCTTGCAACAGACTGGTCCAAGAATGGCATCGGCTTCTGGCTCCTGCAGAAACACTGTAGCTGCAACAATTATGAACATTTCTGCTGCAACTCAGGCTGGAAGATAACTCTCGTTGGCAGCAGGTTCACCCATGCTGCTGAGACACGCTATGCTCCAGTGGAAGGCAAACCACTTGCAGTAGCCGACTCCCTAGACAAGGCAAGGTATTTCGTCTTGGGGTGCGAGGACCTCATCATAGCAGTCGACCACAAGCCCCTCCTCAACATCTTCGCTGACCGTACCCTACAGGACATCCCTAACCCCCGCCTGAGGAACTTGAAGGAGAAAACCCTGCGCTACAAGTTCCGTATGGTCCATGTCCCAGGCGTCAGACACCGTGCTACAGACTGCCTCTCTCGACACCAGACTGGTGCGCCTGAGAGGTTGTACCTTCCCGATGACATCGCGACAATCTCTTCGATACCTGCCACGTTCCTGCACTCCACATCGCTCATGGCGGGCCTCCGCACGCTGGCCCCGCACGAGGACACCATCGAAGTTTGCACACTCTCCTCTGCTATGTGTGCCCTGGAGTCTCTCCACCGGAAGTCAGTCACATGGGACAGAGTCCGTACTGCCACAGCTAGTGATGACAACATGCAGGCACTGCTTGGCACTATCGAAGCTGGCATGCCAGAATTCCGCCATGAACTCCCTCCACCCCAACGTGAATACTTCCAATTCCGTAACGAGCTCTCTGCAGTCGACAGGGTCATCCTCTACAAGGACCGTCTTGTTATTCCACCATCTCTCCGGGAGGAAGTATTGGCCCATCTCCATGCTGCGCACCAAGGAGTCACCTCTATGACTGCCAGGGAAGAGTCCTCAATCTTTTGGCCAGGCATCTCTCCTGCCATTGCGACTCTCCGTGAACGGTGCAACCAATGCAATCAGATTGCACCCTCCAACCTGAGCGCACCACCAACCCTGTTGCTGTCTCCAGCCTACCCTTTCCAATGTGTCTGTGCAGATTTCTTCCACTACAAGGGCTGCAACTACTTGGTTGTAGTGGACCGCTACTCAAACTGGCCCATTGTTGAGAGGTCCACTCAGGGGGCAACTGGACTCATCTCATGCCTACGTCGGACATTTGTCACCTTCGGAATCCCGGATGAAATTGCATCGGATGGTGGCCCGGAATTCACGGAAGTCACTACACGCTGCTTCCTCCAGGACTGGGGCATCCATCATAGACTCTCCTCCGTTGCTTATCCACATAGCAACTGCCGCGCTGAGGTCGCTGTCAAATCCGTCAAACGTCTCATCATGTCCAACACCAGCCCCACGGGTGCCCTAGACACTGATGCCTTCCAGCGTGCTATGCTTCAGTACAGGAACACTCCTGACAGGGACACCAAGCTCTCTCCAGCCATGCGTGTCCTTGGCCGCCCGATTCAAGACTTTATACCCATTGCTCCCGGCAAATACAAACTGCACAAAACATGGCGTGAGACCCTGGCAGCTCGGGAAGATGCACTTCGCAACCGCCACATGAGGGATGCGCAACGTTGGTCTAAACATACTAAACGACTCCTGCCCCTTGCCGTTGGTGACCACGTCTGCATTCAAAATCAGACAGGGATGCATCCACTCAAGTGGGACAAAACCGGGGTGGTGGTCGAGGTTCGGCAATATGACCAATACGTCATTCGAGTTGATGGCTCTGGGAGAGTCACATTACGCAACAGAAAATTCCTGCGGAAGTATGTTCCTGTTCTGAATGAACGACCTTCACCTCCAACAACAATGCAGGACGACATCCATGCTCGTCGCCGACCGGCACCCATGCCTCTCTCCTGCCCTGCAGGACTGGCACCACGCTCGCCCCGCTCCACTGGCTCTGCTGATGTTCCTCACTGCAACACAGTGCCGCCTGCCAACATGCCTCTGCCACCCCAGCTGGACGATGATGGTTCTACCGACAGACGTTCCCCTCTCCCTGCAGTTGTCCCCTCTACTGTACATGACTCACCAGCAACGACATCAACCAACATGGCACCCCCGGCAATCTCTCGCCGGATTCCGGATCCTGCACCCGTCAGTGCCCCTCCGGCTGGCCCTCCTGCTACAGCACCGAGACGCTCTACCCATCGCACCAAGCAGCCTGCTTGGCACTCTGACTATTTCATGTGATCTCAGCATTCAAACTGACAATGTTTTTCGCGTTCCTGTGTTTATGTTCCTACGGATGTTTGACTTTTGATACATGGATTTTTCATAGTTTTGTTCACAAGATTCGTCGTTCATGCCAGTTGTTTGTTGTTCACTGCACTATTTCGAATTGTTCAGTCTTTGTCACATTATTGACATTCGCGTCCGTCTATTCGCGCCAAAGACTTGAGGGGAGATAGAGGATTGTAACTGATACTATGTACCCATTCTTTTGTTCCATGTGCAGACCGTGATCATTGTTGGCAGGTTTTCAAGAAGTATTACATTGAGCCGACGGGCAGGTAATAGAACCGGTTCGTTTTATAGTTATTCCTTGTTTCTAGTAACAACCCACATGAAGTGGCAGCGTGCACGTGGGTCATGCCAGTTCCTCGTTTAACTCTACTCTGACACTAACACTCTCTAACACGTTGCAGCAACACAGATGAGGACTTGCAGCTGAGATTGGTGTCGAGGTTCGTCAACAAATGAAACCGCTTGCTTGTGTCGCGTGCGTGGTCCAGCAGCAACTGGCAGGGCTTGAACTGCGGGCCGTAGAGGTCGGTAAACTGCTGCATGCGTTCTACCAGTCTAGCTGCTCCATACCGATCGACAAACATGAAGGGGCCTGCAAGACAAACATCACTCTGCTGAGAACTGCGCACAAGTAGCGTCGATCAAACGAAACAACGCTCTGTGTTACTCCACAGAGGTGCTGAATGCCGAATAAAACGTTAAATATAATAAAAACGTTTGTCTTCCACTAACAGGGCACCCTATGCATTTAGTGCGACTCCACGAAGGCGTTTGTGTTGACAAGTGGACATCTCACCTCCGTGGAACGGCGGGAACCCGAGGCCGAACACTGCGCCGATGTCGCCATCTGCTGGTGAGTTGAGTATTCCCTCTTGCAAGCACATGACAGCTGCTAACCCAAAGTAGTAGACCGGTGAGGCCAACGCACAGCAGCACCAGCCCCTGCGATGCCAAGCTAGCTGTCGTCAGGGTTGTACGCGCGGTCACCGCATAAGCAAACGTGTAGAGGTAAACTTAGAGGTACCGAATTAACTGTTTGTCGTCTGTTAGACCCAACTCATTCCAAAAATTTTAATCGACGTCGACAGACAGGCTCCTTGGGAAAAATTTCTGTATACAATGTTGGTTTCAGTTTAAGCTTGTTTTATGCTTTCCTATGATGATGGTGAACCCTCTACATAGTGCCGGCTGGGTGACACAGTGATGGGTGTCGGTCTGTTGTGTCAATAGTATGTATAAATTGTTATTGTGGTCTCAGTGTCATCTTGTGTGTACGAAGTTTGCATGCAGTTTTAAGTTCGCATGCTGCCAGGTTTGTGTACGATGGCACTTTAAACAATTGGAAAGTAATAAATATGGCACATTGTCAGCATTGAAGGGCAATTATTGATGTTTATGAAACATCAGTAACTACAATACAAGCTTTATTAAAAGGGCTTTTCGGTGACCTGTACATACCTTTCTGCTACGTCAAGGATTTATAATGTGATGTTATGATAACACCTGTTAAAACTTTATTAACTGCAACATTTATTATTGTATGACTATTAAAAGTATGCGCCATTAAAAACTTATGCGGCACATATAAATTAATAATGTGCATTCGTGTTCTAAATGCATCTGGGTCTAATTTATTCACAACATTATTACATAACATTTAAATTATATAAAACAAAATTGCAAGCTCACAGACAAATACAAGCTCAATACAATTTACGTTATAATAAGTTCTACTTGCTGTGAGAAGTTAGAAGGAATAAGCACAAAACATGAAATAAAATTCAGATGCTTGGGCAGTGATTTTAGCAGCACGACATAAATAAAACGAGGAGAAAAACAGTGAATGAGTCGCAACTCTTTGCATAATTCCTGCACTACAATAGGCTTTAGCATGATTATGGCATCAACGCTCGTACATATTATCAGGAGTGAATAATAATATATCTATTATTATTCACTCCTGATATTATGCATATTGGTGTGATGGATGGCGGGCCATGTGCCGCCTCAGAGAATTACTATATGAAAATTCCATTAAGCAACAGTTGCATTTAAATCGTTTCTCGCCCGTGTGAATGTGCTGGTGCAGTTTGACCTCGTTTTTCGTCGTGAACGCGGCATCGCAGTCGTCACATTTGAACGGTCTCTCGCCCACGTGCCTCCGCACGTGCAACTTCAGACTGTACGCCCGCGCAGAAGCAAAGCTGCATATCGAGCACTTGAACGGCTTTTCGCCCGTGTGCGTGCTCATGTGTCTCTTGAAGCACTGCAGGAATCGCGTGGAGTAGTCGCACACGACACAGCAGTGCAGCACCTTGTCGCTGTGCTTGCGCAAGTGACTCTGTAGGTGATTGCGCTTCACAAAGTCGGCGTTGCACGTCGGACACTTGTATTCCCTCGGTACGGCGTGATCGCTGGGCACTACTGTCTTCACGCTCGCTCGCGGCACGACGGCCCTCGTCGTGCGGCCGCGCTGTGAGTTCCCGTAAGGAGCTTGCACGACGCTAGTCGACGGCGCCGACGCGTAGATAGATGGCGCTGACGTCGGCCCGCCGGCTCGCTGCGCGCTTGCGGAGCTTCCTAACCCGTACGTAGTCCCCAAAACGTTCTCGAGCGTGAATGTTGGTGGCTGCCTCCCGACAGATCGAAAAGAAGCCGTGCTGCGGGGTTCATCCCCGGAAAACGGGACGAGACTGGAAGGGCAGGCCGCGTCCCTGTTGTTTGTACCGTACACCTCGGCGATGCAAGAGAAATCGCTGTCGTCCTGGTCGTCCACATACTGCTCCAGCTTCAAGTTGATGTCTTCTGCCGTTCGGGGAAACAACATGCTGGTGTCGTCAAACTGCATCAGCGCTCGGTTGTCTGGTTGCTGTCCGGTGGGAGTCGGTGAGAGAGAATCGACGCACTGCACGTTATTGTCGCAACTTTCGTCCGGCGGCTCCACCTTAATCTGGACGGCCGTCGTGGCGTCTGGCGAAGAGTACGCTCGTTCTATCGGCTCTGACGCTGCACTCGTGCTCGCCTCGTTTTCACTTCCAACCGTACTCTCTCCATCGGGGTTGTGTCCTTGACATCTGAGCAGCCTGCAGTGCACTTCTTGTGCATGGTTAAAAAATTCTTCCTGCCTGAAGAAGCATTCAGAGCAGGCAGTGCATCGATAGTAGAACTCTGGTTCAGTACAAGCATGATATGTCATCGTGACAAAGAGAGTTCACACTTTACACAATTTTACTAAACAGTGCAGCTCTCCTGTGGTGGACGAGTTGTGATGTTAACCTTTATTGTCGTGGTTTGTCGAACATTGATTCGCACATAACTCAGTACTCACTATAGGCTTAAAGCAGAGAATGCTAATGCAAATACTTTAATAGTATTAATTGCACTGCAGTAAACTAGGTCTCCTCGCCGAACTGCTGTTACTGTGTTACTGAGTGTTAGTATTGACTGTTGTGACAGTCGGACTCAAAACAGAATTTCAGACCCAATCGATAAACCAATCATCATAAATGTTGTTGATACAGTTTCATTGTCCGACCTTTTACGAAGGTATACGAGATTAAACTACTCGCAATATTAACATGAGATAAACAGAGCAGAGGCAAACATTGTCAGAGACAAATCTAAAATCAACTAAAATGAACAGAACATGTCTGGGATTACCGCCATCTGTCGGACAGATTCGCACTATTTTAATGCACTAGATTATTTCCTATTCGTGAACAGACTGTAGACTATCGTATGTTTTTCTGACCAATAACTTGTTATAAATTTAGCTAATCAATGAAAATAGATAAAAATGCACTGAAAAACAATGAATGATAATGATGATACTGAAGACCTGATGCGGAAACTACACCGGATATTTACGCATACAGGTCAATTTACGTCACTGGTGTCAACTTTAAAAATGGCAGCGGGAAATCATGAAACAGATGACAGCGGTGGGACCAATTTGAAGGCTGACAATATGAGTAAAAAGCCACTTAGGATGCCCACCTTTACCCTCTTCGATGCTGCAGTGGTCGTCTTCAGTTTGGCAACTTATTTAGTGGATACTTCAACTGGTGTGTTTGCACACTTTCCTTGGGATAAAACTGTGAAAATACTAGTAAACTATAACAATGTATCACAATATAATAACATAATGTCTTTTAATGAACACTTTATATACACACACAGCTAGTTTGTATACTATAATTTCACAATAATATATTGCTGTCTTTTCTTGTTTGCAGATGTTTTAGTAGTTATCAAGTACATACAGAATAATGATGTGGCATGGGCAGGACTCACGATGACTTTCACCGTTCTTCCCTCAGTTGTAATGCAGATGTTTAGTTCTCGATGGCACATCAACGACAGCAAAATGAACTGGCGGTTGCTAATTATCCACGTTTTACAGCTCGGTGCTTTCCACAGGTAACATCATGCACTGATACACTCTAGCAAACACATTTCCGAGTTGTTTTACAAATGCAATATAAATTTTTACTGCAAATTGCAATGAGCCACCCTACATATCATCAAGAACTAATTAATAATACCTCAATTATTTATTTTTATTTTTATTAATTAATAGGTATTATTAGCTCTTGATATTATGTTAATTCGTTATAACTCCTAGAAAAAACCTACATAAATTGCAGAAGCAGGTATATGCTAATCTAATCACTATGCTGTAGGTACATTTCGGTGCTCATCGTCGGATTCAGGGCACGTAAAACCCGGCGTCTCGAGGACTACATGGAGATTTATCAGCAGCAGCGCGATGTGGCCATGCTGCGTCTGTTCGAGTCGTTCATGGAAAGCGCGCCGCAGCTAGTGCTGCAACTCTACATCATGGTGACCACGAGTCACTGGTACCCACTTACAGGTATATGTGTGCGCATGTAGAACAAAAATATTTCACAGGCTTTCGTCGTACATTCCGTGCAATAGTTTCCGCAAAATAGAGGCTGATGTTGCCGATTGGGATGTTAATCAGAATTATGATGCACTGGCGATTGATAGTTTGTCGTTAATTAACTGATTGTTATTTCTCACCTGTAGCGATATCAGCGTGTGCTTCTCTGCTGTCACTGGCATGGGCCATCGCCGCCTACAGCAAGTCGATGCGAAACGCGCGAGATGACAAGCGCAGACTTGGCTACACCGGACTCATCCTACAGACCGTCTGGCGGATGGGCAGCTGTGCGTCCCGCGTGGTCGCCCTCGTGATGTTAGCTGCTGCCTTCAAGGGGTGGATGTGTCTGGCATTGGGTAGGTATTAATTGTGGGGTGTAGTATGTCAGTAGAATTAATGTGGAGGTTATGTAGGGTAGCCCTAGTTCCCAAGTAAATGTGATCTGTATCTGCTAATGATTTCGTCCACAGTCTACGAATCAAGTGCATCTCCGACGTATTCATTTATTCATTAATTGCTCGTTTATTGCAGGCATGCATTGGGTGGGAATGACCCTGTGGATTTTCGCACAAAAAACAGACTTCTGCGACACATGGTGGGAAGAACGGATGTTCAACGTTATCGTTGGCGCCATCTATTGCTTCTCTTTTTTTAATTTGAAGGAAGGCATGACAAGGTAATTGTGATTGCTCTCCCATCACGACAACGTTCTTTCAAATCACTCCTCCAGGATGCACAAGTCTTTTCATTGGATCTTGATGTCATATATGTAGAATTTGAGTAGATTTGGGTTCCTCATGAGGGTATATTTACTGTTTAGCATATATAATACTTTTTAAATGTATACCTAGCTATGGCTACCGCTACCATGGTTATTCGTTTTCTTGCAGATATCGTCTGCTTGCCTTCGAGCTAATCATGCTTTCAGAGAACACAGCATTTATGTGTATCGTCTACGTATACGGTAGCTACAGGAAAGACTGGTTCACAACCACCGCTCTTGTTATTGTTTGGGGTGGCTTCTTCATAGGTAAGTGGCATTCACAAATAGGAGTGAATACTAGTGTTGGAGATCGGTCCAAATTTCATGATCGATCATCGGTTTTACAAAACGACCGATGATCGACTAATCATCGATCATTTTAGATTGCGGCGACGACGCGGTGACGCCGCGTCATCGTCGACACAACTGGTGTATTGCGAAGGAATATTGACATTATTGTATGTGTAGCTAGTATTTAATGGTAAGTAAATTAAGCATACTGTTAGGGTTACGGACAGGTAACACTCTAAAGGGCATTGCAACATAACTGCTCATCAAATTCAATAAAAATAAATATATAAAAAAAGTTCAAATTGTACTCGGTCGTCCGATTTTCTACTCGATTAATCAACTCGGTAAAAAAGAGTAATGATCGACGAACTCGACGAATCGGAACACCACTAGTGAATACAACTAGCGCTAGTGTTTGATGCAGTTGCTCGCTTGTCCGTAGTTCATCAGCGGTGTTGAAGTCAGTAACATCAACTATCAATTATCACTAGCCCTTAATATGCTGATTGTTCATTGAGACAAGATCATATCATTCACTATGTGGTTATTTAGTTTCATATTGTTTGTCAATGTTAATAGCTAGTGAATTTAACAGTAAATGTTAATGGCATACTAGGCCCATTGATTATGCAATGTTGACGAATGCTAGAGTAACTGGCACCTTGTGTAGTTAATAAGTACATAACCTTATAGCCAAATGCGCATTAGTTTGTCCAATATCACTGCTGGTTACATTACAAGCAAGACTTGAAATCGGTTGTTGATATTCATTTACGTGCCATAAATATCATTCAGGAGTCGAGCGATAACGTAAACATTTGTGCGGCCCATCTTCTTAATCTTTCTTCTCTCCACAGGAAGTCTGAGTATGGTGCTATACTATCGTTTCTTCCATCCGAACGGCCCGATAAAGATTTGCTCGGGCCGAGTCGGAGATGTCTCCTCGGGAAAGCTGGACGCTAGCCTAGATGTGAGTGAACACAACAAGTACACGTGAAGTTTCGTCTCACACCACATCGAGTATCGCTATTTAGTATTAGCAGGGGTTAATAATGACAAATTCTTAATAAATAATAATAATAATAATGAAAATAATGTCATTATTCACCCCTGGTATTAGGGTGCGCTGTGCACTCGCCCGGCACGTGTAGTGTATACATCGCCGAATAAAACCAGTAAAAACCGAGCGTCGTATGTTTCCAGGTGGATTTTCTCCCACGGTCGCAGACGGCGTCAGCGAAGAGCAGCCCCGCGCGTTCGGACACGTCGGCCGACGCGCTGAAATACATGATCCCGTCTCATCTGTCACCACTGCAAGTGTTCTACTGCACCGAGGTCTGCTGCTCGCCCGACGCAGCGCAGAAAATCACGCCGGCAGACGCTCGCATGCCGACCGACGCGTGCGGCGGCGGCGGTCCTCCGCAGGGGACGGCGGACGACGCTGCGTGCTGCTCCTGCGGCAGCCTCGTTAGCGCACGGACGTCGATGTTCTGCGCCGACTGCGACTTGGTGTTTGGCGATGAGAGCGGTCACACGGCGGCAACCCCTGTTAATGCGGCTTCGACAGCGACGGAGGAGGAGGTAGAGAGCCTCGCGAGCATCGCCGGCGACGCGCGCTTCCTTTTCGACGTCGATCAGGCGAGTCGCGAAACCCCGTTTAAGGAAGAGCGGCAAACGCCTGCGTGCGATTCTGCGATGCACGTGGAGATCTATCGCGACGAATTTCAGGAGGAGGCGCAAGCGAATGCATGTCCCGTCGAGAGGAAACCAAGGAGCACTGTTAGGCGTCTGCTATCTCTGTTCGAGAAGCGTCTTGCTGCGGAGCCGTCGCGAGTCTGCCGGCCCAGGGTGGCCCAGCAGCGTGTCGAACGCGACGCTACGCCCAGAATCACCCGCGACAACTCTTTCAAAGAGTCTGAAGCAATCGTCGCCATGGTAAACGAAAGCGGTGCCGACGCGAAGGGCACCGGTGATTTGGGTCGGCCAAATCCCAGCGACCCGCGCAATATCGATCTCTCTCCCGGTGAAGTCACTCATGTTCATCGCCATGGTAACGATGAAAGTAGCATTCCCGTGGTTACGTCGATCCAAACGCCACGCTCTCACAATGGAGGGCCTGCTATAGCCGGTGGATCAGACAGAAATCTTTTTGGAGAGGTAAAAGCCGGAGGAGAACACCCGAATAAAAGTGGCCAACGTGTCGTCCCCGGCTGGGCTCCTGAGCCGCCCCCTCACTGCGTCGGTGGTACTGATGCTGCGCATCCCACGACCGGAACAACTGGCGTATCCGTGAAGCCATACGCCGTGGATACGTCACCACCTCGACGTGCTTCAGCGACGGATGGTCTGATAGTTAAACCGACACCAAGTGACGGTGCATTGTCTGCTGCCCAGGAGAAGGTGGAGAAGGTGGAGCCAGTGTTGTCTGGTCAAAATCTAGACGAGAATGCAATCCTTGGGTGCACGGAGGTAGGTTGTGACAAGGCCCCCAGTGATGTTCTTTCTGCCCCGTCTGACACGCCAGCGGATGTCAGAGTCAGTGCGATGGCAAAACCGTGCGAGGGTTTGGAGATGGACACACCGACGTGTACAGTACGGGATGCAACTAAATCACAGCAGATGATGGTTCCACCTGGTGGAAGGTTCTCGCTGCCTTCACATCCGGTGGTCGAATCAGAAATTACGCCGAAACCGCCTGTCATAGATTCCCGCGCAAAACCCGTGCCTTCTCCCGACTCGAAGAATTCTCCTAATCCTGCTCACTTACCTCAAGTAAAACCGCTGAGCCCTAGTAGTAAGCCAAACATGGCGGATGTGGTGTTATCGACCAATAAGAGAAGTCCATTACAATCAACCAACTCTCTTGCATCGGAAATGTGTGTGCGTGAGATCCATTCACCTACCGGTGTGAACCAGAGTACAAATGCTCCGATTAGATCAGAGGGGAAGGAAAATATTGTAGTTCGTGTCTTGGGCACCTATGTATAATTATCACTCGTACACGTTTTGTATATAATTTCAAGGGATTATTGAACACTGATGGCACCAACTGGAGATTTTATGGCGTCCTATTAGTTTCGATGCACGTGCGTGAACGTTGCGGTACCGTCGTCGGTACCACCGCTTCACTTCCTCAATACCTCCACGTTATTACATGCTGCATTCTGCACTTCAGTTGTGAAGTATGCACACGACTTAGGATGATGGTAGTGTTAGTGCCAGGTAATTAAAAAAACATGGTAATGAATTTTACCAGATTTTATTTTTCCTGGTCGATATTAGACTAACATAATAGTTGTACAGTATATGTAGTACTGTGTAGCAATCTGTGATACTTTACCATTTGTTATGACACTTGGTGTGCACATCTTTATTTGCCCTGGGTGATTTTATATAATATGCAGTATTTATTCTTATTATGATCACATTGCCTATTGTGAAAGTTTTATCAACTTTGAAACATTTAGGCAATTATAGATTTTATTACCATTGGGTTGTTAGATGATATTTGGGTTAGACTAGTTTTGCGAATTCCCTATTGATGAAGACCATTACGATACGGTTGTAGTTGTAGAGATTGTACAACAGGGTTTTATTAGAATTACTATCACTGTCAGATATTTATCTTTATATATGTAGCTATATACTTGCTATTATACAGCTGTAAATACACTTGTTTATAATTTACACTTGTAAAAATATAAAAGCTGAACCAGAAATAATGTTTTAGGTTCAATCATTTAATATAAATTAGAATTTTCATAAAATATACGTTTTTAGAATAAAACTAACATTATAGTTATTATTAATATGTATACAGCAGGCATATTTGTTTGGGTGCATCATGCGATCCAGGTCACATGGATGCAATGATCCTGTGTATTTGTTGATTATGGATCTGGATCATGAATTGTTGATCACAGATCTGGATCACGAATTGTTGATCATGCTGGTGAGGTGGAATTGAAGGAAATCCAATACGGCGGCCTGCTACTCGGTAAATTGCTGTTTGCTGCTAGTTAGGAACCATCCTGTGATAGCTCCCATTGATAGTTGGATGTACGTTTGCTTATATTTGGGCAAGTCAGGATCGATTGATCCAGTTCATACAGATCCGTTCCAAACAAACAGGCGTATAACGTGTAATAATGTGTTAATAGATAGAGAGAACTGTCAGGTGGTGACTAAATTGTCTTCTCCACATAATGGCTGTCTAATACCATCTATCTGTTCATTAGTTCAGCTAGAGATTGATACATAACCTGTGAATAAATACTTTATACATTTATAACTGGTTGTTTCTATGTGTTTTGGGCTACAATGAGATTGAAATCCAATTGGATTACTTTTCATCAAAGCCATTGTATAAATGTATTAATTAGCAATCCCCTAACCAATATAATGAATCCTAGGTTAATAACGGGCGTGAAACCAATACCTAAATATTTTGTTGTAACCTGCTCACATATGAACATGCAGATTGAACCATCTCACTTAGAAGCATCACCATCTTTTACACAGATATTTCTAGTATATTATAGTATAATTATAACACATAATTTTCTTTGTATTATTTTACTCCTGGCAATACCAGTATTCCGTTTCAAACCAACTTCATCAACTGCCGTTATTGTTAGTCTGTTCGAAACCTGACCTGCTTACACCCCTGATGAAACGACCACGTGCTACTCTTACTTACACTATATACATGTATGTCGTTGAACTGAACACTCGGCGCAATCACATTACTCGGCATGATCACATAGTTATAACACTCACGATGAGCGTCGCTTCCCTAGAACATGGTCGGCTCATCTATGTTACTCCTTTACCTTTTACTCTCTATCACTTTATCTTTCAATCCCAGTTCTCCCACTCGTCCTCCTGCAGGAAAAATTACAGGAATGCAACGGGATAATACAATATTACTGATTGGCCGTCGTTGATTGTTACTGATTGGCAGTCGTTGATTGTTACGCATTTCAAACATGTAATGATTACAATAGTTCCAATTTAACGTGATATATTTTCTGCAAGGAAATAATCTATTTGCCTGTCCCCCCTGCTTCTTAATATCCTCATACTAACTTGACATTCCCATTATTAAACATGGCTCTATCTCTCTCTTTCTCTCTCTCTTTCTCTCTCTCTCTCTCTCTCTTTCTCTTTCTCTCTCTCTCTTTCTCTCTCTCTCTATCTCTTTCTCTCTCTCTCTCACTCTCTCTCTCTCTCTCTCTCCAATAAAAATAAAATGCTTGGTGTACGTAACTGCGTATCTGCGTTACGGTAGCTACGCCCCTGCCTACTGTAAAGGAGCTTTCCCGAGATGATGAGCTAGATCTTCACTTACCTCGTTAACACCACCAGAGGCCAGCAGCTGTTGTGCAGCCTCCTGGGCCAGGCTGAGCTCAGCATCCGTCATGTCAAGGTCCTCA